ACACAGACACAGACACAGACACAGACACAGACACAGACACAGACACAGACACAGACACAGACACAGACACAGATACAGACACACACAGACACACACACAGACACACACCCAGACACACACACACAGACACACACACAGACACACACACAGACACACACACAGACACACACACAGACACACACACAGACACACACACAGACACACACACAGACACACACACAGACACACACACAGACACACACCACAGACACACACACACAGACACACACACAGACAGACGCACACACAGACACACACACAGACACACACACAGACACACACACACACAGACACACACACAGACACACACACACACAGACACACACAGACACACACAGACACACACAGACACACACACAGACACACACACAGACACACACACAGACCACACACACAGACACACACACAGACACAGACACAGACACAGACACACACAGACACAGACACACACAGACACAGACACAGACACAGACACAGACACACAGACACACACACAGACACACACACACACACACAGACACACACACACACACACACACACACACACACACACACACACACACACACACACACACACACACACACACACACACACACACAGACACACACACACACACACACACACACACACTCACACACACACACACACACACACACACACACACACACACACACACACACACACACACACACACACACACACACACACACACACACACACACACACACACACACACACACACACACACACACACACACACACACACACACACACACACACACACACACACACACACACACACACACACAGACACACACACACACACACACACACACACAGACACACACAGACACACACAGACACACACAGACACACACAGACACACACAGACACACACAGACACACACAGACACACACAGACACACACAGACACACACAGACACACACAGACACACACACACACACACACACACACACACACACACACACACACACACACACACACACACACACACACACACACACACACACACACACACACACACACACACACACACACACACACACACACACACACACACGCACCCCTCCCTGGCTCATCTGAGCTGCTCCCCTCAGTCAGGATATGGCAAGCCATTTGATGGGGCTCTGTCATCTCAGGTGGCTCACACGTTGGTTATATAACCACTGAGGGATGGTCACACTGGTTCTGCAACATTGCAATAACAGTTTATCTGAAAACCATTGCCATGCGGACGAGAAAAGGTCGTGACAGTAGTCTATGCACTTGCACAGGCAGTACTTCCTGTGCTGCAAACCCGGTGTCCGGAAAAACGAGGGGTCCGGTCAAAACTACGTGTTTCTCGTTCAGGACATGGGACAATTTGGGGCTCGTCTGCTCTTTGTGGGGAATTTCAGTGAGTTCCGCATCTCGTCCCTCCCAAATGGAGCACAGACTACTGGACGTGTTGATCAAACCCCATGTGGGGTTGGCTATGAATTGGACATGGAACCTTCCTTTGGCTTCTCCAAACTGCCCGACATAAAGATGTGCCGCACTTCCTGTCACGTGTCACAAAAGGATGTACTTGTCACCGCACTTATACACCACGAAGTCGCCCGAGGCCAATGCTGGCAACTGCGCTCCCAAAAAAGTGCGAATGTCCAAGGCCCGGCCTTTCGGCCGCTGCAAAACGTTCGGGGTCAATGGGGCTGTCCTAGAACCGAGGACATTTTTCTGGACGGTAGAGGGGAACCCAAAGGAGCCCAACTATTTTCGAGGGCCCTGACTTGTTCAGGAAAATTGGTGTTTCACAATTGAGAGTGAGTGAAACCTGCGGTGGGCTCGTCAGGGAAGCAAATGGACACAGGCCCAACTTGCACCGGGCATGTCCACCCGCAAACCACGACCTGCACGGAAAGTGAGGTTCACCACTTTAGAATTCTCCAAGGTGCCCCATGTTCCCTTCAAGCTCGTGGTTTGGGACTTGCTTTTCCTTGTGGCGTGGCAATGCTTCGCTACTGGCACTCTGTCTTTGCACTTTGGTGAGCTCCGTCAACGCTCTTCCGTGGCCCAACCCCCGACCCCTCGCAGTCGACCCTGTATCCGTCGTGGACAAAATCCAGCACCAGTTAGTAGGTGTCCCGGGAATTATAGGGTGGCATAGGGCTTCAGCTTCGTCCATCCCAACTGGTGCAGGATTTCGCCAAACTGTACTACTTACTGTTGTATCATCTGTCGGTTCGGTTCAAACATCCAGTCCATGGTCGCTTTGGGAGGGAAATGGGGGGCTCACAAAAATCCCACATCGCCAATGGACTCACTAATTGTCCCATGTTCTTAGCGGGAGCAAAACATTTCAACCATGGTCATGGGAGGTTCCCCAGTGGGAAAGTCAGCAATATCAACCAGCACCTTTGGACAGTCTCCCAACCATAGACTTGGTTCCCCATGGCAAGACCTTTGCATCCTTTTTGCGTGTTGGTTGATTGTTGGCTGGTTCCCAAAAAAAATACCAACACTTGCAAGACGTGGGCCTCTGGGCAGCTGTGACTGCTTGTTCCGAGGTCCGGGCCATTCCCCATACGCTTCGGCAGAAATGCTCTGCCGCTGCTGTCGCACCACCTGCGTCCGGAAAGGGCCAATCAAGCTGCATCATTCAAAAACACACACCGTCTAAAGACCAAACCTGGAGGTTTGCTTAGGGTAGGAGAGCTTTGTGAATGTCCAGTCCTCCGCAAGGGTTTGGCCAACCCCTTGTTTAAACATGATTAGAGCCGCCCTTCCTTTAAACTTCTTCTTTGTTCCCTTTTGATGGGAACCCCAGATCAATCAACCCATCCTAACAGGGTATCACCCACAAAAGTGCCGGACTAGGTTAAAATTGAGGCCGGCCGGGGGGCTGGTTGTTGCGACCACTACCCAACCCTGGCACTTGAGGCCAGGGCCATGGATGGGGGAGGAGGGATGAATTCTTCAGGCTCGTCGATGGACTCCTCCTCGCTGTCCTTGGCGTAGCAAAAGGAACCCAAAAACCGGGCAGACACCTGGTTTTCCTGAAAAATGTTCGACTCTCGACGTTTGGTCAACAGATTGCAAGAAACACAGGGTTGGAAGTGGGCTCCCATTCTGACCACTTTGTCATTTGCCAAAAAGGTTCTCCCTGGGCACCAAAAGCAGTCCTGACACCCTATGTTCTACAAAACCACGAACCAAACTCGCAGGTTTTGGAATCTGGGCTCCTTGAAGTGGTTGCAGATTGAAGGGTTCGTGGAAACCCATTCAAGCCACCCACTTAGAGGGCAATTGTGAGGATGTGATTCTTACCGGACCCAGTTCAATCCCAATCTCAACCAGCCCCTCATGGCTTGCCTCCTATGATTCTACAAGGGTTCCGATACCAGCGCCGAAGCTCCCTCAATAGAGGCCGAAGTATCAGACTTCCCCCACACCATTGGCCCAACTAGCAACCAGAATTGATTCAAAGGCCCATGGAACAAAAAGGCTAGACTCCGTCGACACCTCATCACGCCTGGTTGCTGGAATCCGCCCCTTCACCCATTATACTGCATCTGGGTCTCTGTCTCCGCCATGGTGACAGGCTGCTCAGCTACCGCCAAGGCCGTGTCAGCTGAAGTGCCAGAGACTACTTGTTGCAAAAAAGAAGATCGGCCGCTCTTCACTTGCCTAATCACTTGCTTCGGTTCTTGCTTGGTAAGCAACGGACGGATTTTCTGCGCCCTTGAGCCAGCAGAGGTGCAAAGACTCAGAACGGGGGAACCTGCAGCCTGATTCTACAAACCCTTCCAGGAGGCTGGCTGCCAAGCAGGAAAGCCTTCCAATAAGTCTCGGTCAGCAGCTTGAATATTCGCCTACATCAGGCAACAGCTGTTCGCATAGAACCAGATCCGGAATAGGCGTTCTGTGACTACAACTATATACGCCACCGAGTGCATCCCTCCATCTGAGAATCGCAGCTATTACCCGGCCAGAAATCACGCGCATCCCAGGGAACGAGCCTCTGGTGTGGGTCTTCGGGCCGTTTTCCCCTGGTAGGCTTGCCCTATTTGCCGCAGAACGGGTTTAAGAAGCAATCAAATCACGCACTCGGAAGCAGAACGAGGCCCTATAAACTTTCCCACAACATGGAACCTGAATGGAAGCCCCTGGAAAAGCATGTTCCTCTGAAGAAGGGATCTGCTGGGCCCCATGGCGTGGGTAGCCCTCGAGAAACCTGTGGATTCGACAGGCAAAGAGTTGTGAGGACCTTGCTGGTGGTCAAGGACCCCCCCCATCCCCTAACCGCTCCCTTGGTTCCCCCCAACCCCTCTTGTGGACTCTACTTTACTTCTGTTCGTTGCATGTGTTTGTTAGTTTTTAGTCGTTGGCTCTGTTCATCGTAAGTCTGGGGGGGGGCTGCAAAAACAAAGCTTCGCTGCTACCAAGGTTTGGGAGTGGTTCATGCCCCGAAGGAAAAGAATAACACAGAAAATAAAACTCGGATGGTCAAAACCCGCGGCACCCCTTTGCTCTTCCAAGCCACCTGCTTTTGGACCTCATGTGTTTTCTCCTTGCTGGGGAAACAAAATCTGCCATACCACAAAGACAACCAAATTGTATCATGGCTGCAGAAAGGGCATATAACCATATGGGAATTTATCAAATTCTCTATACTTGATATTTTCACCAAAAGAAAGCCATTTCCAGAGTCGCCAAGGGTAACGACCAGGGGCAAGTGGCTGGACTGTTAGGTTGAATCTGGGATCCCTGCATGAACTCACATGATGCGAGAACCATGCTTGAGATAGCTTCCTATCCCCTACGGTTTGATTCTCAAACTGGCGACTTTTCAAATCCTACCAAAGTCTGTTTGGGAGCCTTTCCCCTGCCTTCAACCAGAACCTGATGTTGATAGTACATTGATGCCCCCAAGTGCAAAACCTTGGACACGTCTCTTTGTTGGCTGCTCATCTTGATGCCAAATATATTCACTGTGTGCTTTGTGTGCGTTCCCAGGCCTGCAAATCCTTTGGCCCTTGGGTGTCCCCTGCCAAGATAAACCAAGTCGGCTTTCCTTTTGCACCGCCATGTTTGTGGGAGGGTACGTGTTTTGCATGCTCAGCATAGGCAGAATGCGATACCAATCGGCGCAAAGAAGCATTGCTAAAGCATGCCAAGTGTGGTGAAAACTCGCAAGTCGGCCCTGCGCACTTACAAATGGAGGACAAAAAACAGTCGGACCTGAGATTTGAGAAACTGCCCATAGGCGCGTTGTGTGAGGGAGCCCTAAAAGAGGTTGTTTCAAGGAAACCTAAAGGATACCACGTTCAGGCTTCCTTGATTTGGAGACACACCCACATCCTCTGCCGGAAGGGTTCCCCAGCTTCAGCGAGGGCATTTGCGCTTTTTGGTCGCCTGCCTTTTTCACAAGCAACCAGGTCACTCCTCCACCTGGCGACAGAAAGAATTTGGTCCGAGCTTCGGTGGCCTTCTTGAAACATCTTCAATCAAGTGCAGGTTGTTGGTCAAGTGGCAAAGGTCGGTGAAGACCTTTGCCAAGTGACTTGCTTGGTCACAATGGGGGATCCCTAATCTGCAATCCGGGCGCCACAAGAAGCCACTACCATCTGAACTAATTACTCAGGCAAACACATTTGTACACGGAAGATACGGTGGTACCGCTGGACACGGCCGATTGTCCTCTCTAAACCAATGTGCATCCAGCAATAACCCCTGGCAGATTCAGGCTTAAACTTTGGAGGGGGAACACGCCCCCGTAAATTGGGTTGACGAATCCGAGATCGACATTATTCAGTTGGACGGAACTTCTGTTGTGCTGGGACTAGGTGAGCTGTGCTTTGCTCTCAGGGATGACGTACTGCGCGTGAGAAAGGATGCGGAAAATGAGGAAGGCACGAGAGTTGTGAAGCTGGAGCAGATAGAATCGCGGGGCCCCGAAGTTGCCGAAACAGACCATCGGCACTTTGCGAACATCAAATGAACCCTCTGCGGACTTTCGCGAGGGCTGGCCCTTGTTCGTTGACCATTTGGTTGCACTCAGCATCACATATGGCATCACATATGTGTTGTGTGCAATTGTTCAAAGTGGGTCACACAGCCTTTTGCAGACTTCCGAGTTGTCAGCTAGGTAACTATCTAACCAAAATAGCTAAGTGGCTCACCAGCTTGCAAATAGCTTTCTAACACCATCTAACTCCTTAACAAGCGGACTAGCACAGTAATTGGCTTCATCGACCCACAACCCAAGTGACAAACTGACCAACGACTCTCTAGTTGATTTAATGACCATCTAAGTAGCCAACGAACTAGCAAGCTGGCTTGCCAGCTAGCTGAAAAGCTGCTTGCGTTCCACCTGGATCTCATTTTCGGGCAGTGTGATGGACTTCTCAACGAAAATAGAGTATCCCACTACTTACAGAGTTTCACCCAAACTGCTGCAGGATTTTGTCCACAGTGTCACCTGGATGCTGGCCGCTCCCGTTATCCCGCATACCTGATCCGCAGTCGGAAGCATGCAGACCCCACGTGGGATGTTCAACGTCCCTGTTGTCCCATTGATAACCAGAGTTGTCCTATGCTATGCCATGGAACCCGCCAGGATGGCTTGGACCATGTTCGAGGCAAACGGCCCTCGTCCAGCACTCCGAGTCCGGGCGCCTGCTGCACCAAAAAGGGCGCGCTTAGCGCCTTTGCGGCCGCCACGCGGCCAGTGGGGTCCAGCCTCGAGCGGTAAGGACCTGCAAACACCCCAAACACACCGCCCCGCCAAAACAAAAAGCACTGGCCCGAAGAAATACACGAACATACATCCAAGAAAGTGTTTGTTTGGGAGGTCCCACGAACAATTCTAGGAAGAAAAGCTTGGATTTTGTTGGGCACCCTTTGAAGCTTAGGCTGGGATAGTAAAGAAAAGGGTCTCAAAGCTTGGGCTCGTTTGGGAAACAGCTTGCGAAGGAAGCCTGCGGGAAACCGAACGGTTGGAAGGGCGACATAGACATTTGATCTGGGTGCTGTGTTTCACACTTTGGAAATAAAGAACCCCTTCAATCCTCATGACGCCTCGGTCGACTTGAGCGGTCAACACCACAAGCCAGCACAAAACTCGCATAAGTGGTGGCCTCAGCCTAAGGGAAGGAAGGAGCCTGCAAGAGGGACCTTCACCATGGCTGGGCCAGTCTTACACTCAGATGGGCTTGTTAGCCCGAAGGCTAACTCATTACGAACCATTCCCTCAGCCTTCCGGAACAATGAGGCGGGCGCGAGAGGAGGAAAGGAATGCGGAAAGTAGGCCGCTGTGACGTGTTTGGAGAATCTGTTCCAAATCAATGCTCACAAGGAGGATACTTGCTCGACTGCCTGGAGTTTGGATTTCAATTCCTACGAATGCTCCACCTGGGGGTTTCTCTCGAAATGGAACGCTTTCTGTTGGTCAAGCAAAAACTGAGGAAAGCAGTGTGCTTGTGCGGATTCTTGTTTTTGTTTGTTGTTTTGTCTTCTTCTTCTTCTTCTTCTTCTTCTTCTTCTTCTTCTTCTTCTTCGTCTTCTTCTTCTTCTTCTTCTTCTTCTTTTTTGTGGTGGGGGTGGGGGGGGGGGGGGAAATTAAAGCTCCGGAGCTGACAATGGAACCTGCCAGCCTTAAGGCTTTGCCACTCCAAACATAACGAGCCAGACACCTCCTACGTCTCTGGCTGAGGCTTGACCCTTTTGCAAACAGAAATGAGCCACAACGTGGGTACGTGTCAAAATAAAGAGACCCACAGGGTTGTGGTTTTCCTCTCGATTTGCCTTTGAACCTGACAAGGCTACAATGTCAACAAGGAGACCCTTCAGCCAAGGATCAATGATTGCAGCACAAGACCAGTTCAGCAAAGGGCCAAAGCCTGTCAGGGCCTTGGACATTGGGCTGCACGTCTGGAACAGTTGCCACTTGGAGACGTCCCCGTTGTTTTTTTGAGCACCAAGCCGCCCAAGTTGGCCTCCCTTCAGTTCTTGCTCGATTCTTTTTGCCTGCGTTGTTTCCTCCTATATCACCAAATCATTCAAACTTCAAATTCCAATAAAACGTTCAAAGTTTGATTTCAAAATCAAAGAACGATTTCAGAATTTCTGCAAGGGGCATTCAAACCACTACCCCCGGGTTTGGAGTAAGCCACAGTTGTGGAAAATAAACCTACCAACGTTGATTCCCCTTGCTATCTTGTCACTGTCAAGGGGATTCCATTGATATCATGGAAAATCTCCCTACAACCCGGCTTGTCCACCCTCATTCTGGGCAAAACTTAATTGAACTGAAGATCAGGAACCCCCCAAAGACCGGAATCTTCGCTTTGGGCGACGTCCCAAAACCCCCCCGGACAGTGATGCAAGCTCTGAAGCTCTGAAGCCCTGGGCTGCCGGGCGCCAGCAGCCCTGCGCGCAATCCCCTCCCGCTGATTTGTATGGAACCCAAAGGAACCCATGCATTTTAGGAGGGAAAGCCCCCCCCTTTTTGGGGGGGGGTCCATGATGAATTTGCAGCTGAAGGTCGACATCTTCGCAGATGTTTTCACTTACTCCAACAGAGATGTGCGAACAGTGCGAGGTCGTTGCGACACTCAGAGCTCGTAGAGTTTAAGTTGTTTCATTGACGAAAAAGTATGGGCTCGGTGGGATTGGTCACAACCCAAACCTTTCGCACGGCAGTCTTGACCATTTGGACCCCCCAGTTGAGTTGGAGACACACCAAATCTGTCCTCCTACGGCTGTGTTCAAAGCAAGGAGTTTACTTCATGCTTATGTGTGCGCGTGTGCATGTGTGCATGTGTTCACAAAGAGGTGTCTTTTCTTGAGGGTACCACCTTTGCGGGTCGCTTGAAAGGAAAATCAAAAGGACATCCACCAAACCACACCCATATCATGTTCATCAACTTGCACCACCCAATGATAGACTTGGTTTCAGTCGCCGCCTCATCCCCTGTGCGCTGTGCGGAGCCAACAACCTTGATCCTTGATGGATAACTCAACAAGGAAATGGAGCCTGTGTCCGGCATCTGTTCAAAAAAATTCTGGGGAGCTTCAATCAAGATGGAAAAAGGCAAGAGCTGAGTATTGAAGTAGGAAAAGGACCACACTGATGCTGCCGATGTTTACCAGCCAGCTTATCGACCCGCATACCTCATGAATGCTTACTTCCTGATGGGGTTCCCTTGAGGCAGCACCTCGGGCAGCACCCGGGAAAGGATCTCACTTTGGATCCAGGCATTCCCAAAGCTGTGCTTGTTCCTTGCCTTTGGCTAAAAAGCGCCCCAACCATCGATTCTGAGCCAAATCCGGTTGAGAGTGTTGCACAAATTGTTGGGGAGCCCCTTGTGAATGTCTGCTTACAGCGAAAACCAAAGGAAATGAACAGTGTTTGGCCTGGCAGTTCACTTCCAGGAACCGCCCCATGTTTGTTCTTTTAAAGAAGCTAGCAAGCATATTCTGCCCCACGCATGCCCTCGTTTGAATGGTTGAGGTTCAATTCACCACGTGACCTCCTATCCAACAAAACTTCTGTTCAGGAACCTGCCCTGATAGTAGGTATGCGCGGGTGGTGCTGACCAAAACACCAAACGGATTCCGGCTTTCATCTTTCCCAACAACTCGAAATTTGGCCAGCATGCACAAAATTGCCAGGATTGATTCCTGGGTTGGGAATTGGCTCCAACATTGGTGCTTGAAAAGGAGCCTGTTGAGATTTTCACCATCTGTGATTGAAACGGCTGAAAATCACCAGTCCACAGTTCGTCAGATTCGTGAAGGACTTTGGTTTCCATTTGGCTTCCCGTGTCGCATTTGCAATCCGTCGCGATCCTTGCAGAAGCTGCAGGAAGCTCCCGTGCCGCAGTAGCACCTGACTCACTTTCCAACCACAAAGGCCCAAGAGGTACTGTGGCTGGACAAAATCCACTTCGGTTGGGAAGCATGCACCGAGATAAACCGCCTTCCAACTGGCGCGAAATGGATTTGGTCCTGGATTTGGTCTCGTCCAGAGTATCACTTTCTTTGAGGGCTGCTGTGAAACATCTTATGCTTAGGCTAGTTCAGGATATCCAGGACTCCTATATAGGGAGCAGAGACTGTAAGGAAACCAGGACCATGATCCACATTTGTAGTTTCACAATTGCACAAAAGGCAACAGCCAAAGCCGGGAAGCAAGAGATGGGGGAACCTCGACCACAGTACCCTCGCAACGGCGGGGTGAAGCGCCCCGAGTGAGGATCGGTCGAAGATCTCTCAAAAGACTCAAACTCAAACCTAGCCACAAATCATCTACCCCCTCAAGGTGCGTTTTGGCTACAACTTTGGTGCAAGTGATTTCAAGACCATCAGCAAACTAGATTCCCTAAAAAGGATGAAACTCAAGCGGCACCTGGGCGGATACAAAGACACTTCCCCTACCCGGCTTTGACGCATTCCCAGCTGATCCCCAAGCTCCTGCGTTGGCCTTACCTTTGGAGGACAAAATCTTGCCAAAGCCGTCCACAGTACGCACTCCTCTTCGCGACCTCCCGAATCACCAAACCGTGGATTCCCAGGACTGGGGAAAACCAGATAAAATGGCCTGCCCACACCCCACACACTCACATACATACATACGGTGGCAAGTAGATTGCCCAATTCCCATAGGTTGGCTTGGTCAAAAAGAGAAAATTGTGCCATTTACTCTCACTCTGGTGTACAAGCACAGATGCCCTCCCGTCCGTCCCACCAATCTGGCCTGCTGGGATAGTGGGCGCACCGCCTCTGGCATAGCGGGATTGCAGGGACCTTTCAAACAGCAAAGCAGATATGATATTGGGAATACAAACGACCCCAAAATACTGTGAGGGCCCAAATCCGCCAGGACCGGTCCCGGGACCGGTCCCGGGACCGGTCCTGGGACCAGTCCTGGGACCGGTCCTGGAATTACTTGTAGTCAGCCAAAACCGGTCCTGGGACCGGTCCCAGTCCCAGGACCGGTCCTGGGACTGGTCCTGGGACTGGTCCCAGGACCAGTCCCAGGACCGGGGTTTGGTCCTGGGTCCCAGGACCAGTCCTGGGACCAGTCCTGGGACCGGTCCTGGGACCAGTCCCAGGACCGGCGGTTTGGTCCGGACTGGTCCCAGGACAGGTCTGGGACTGGTCCGACCGCTGGTATTGGGTCCCAATTCAAACTGCTGTGCTGCCACCTCAAACCGCTCCAGACACGTTTCCGGACTGGCACCCAGGACACTGGACAGGGTCCTCCCTGCATACGTCAAGTCAAACCGCGCCAGACTGGGACCAGCCTGGACAGGGTCCCAAGTCCCGGTCCCTGCCGGCGACCGGTCCAGGGCAACTTCGGGAGGGCCAGTTTCAGGGCGACCCCGGGAGAGGCGACTGCTCCCGGCCAACTCGAAGTGACTTGGGCGCAAGCCGGCCCAAGCGGTAATTAACGGACTAGCTGCCCTATTTCTGACTTTTCCGTTAATCCTTGTTTGTGGTCAACTTCGGGAGGGCCAGTTTCAGGGCGACCCCGGGAGAGGCGACTGCTCCCGGGCCAACTCGAAGTGACTTGGACGCAAGCCGGCCCAAGCGGTAATTAACGGACTAGCTGCCCTATTTCTGACTTTTCCGTTAATCCTTGTTTGTGGTCGTAGAGGATCTTATAAGTGGTCCCTGGGTTTGCGGACGTGTTTCAGGACCGGCCCTTGTGACTTTTCCCTTAATGCGCCGAGGGTCGGCGGCAGCAGGCGGGAGCCTGGTTAATAACTAGAATCGGGCTGTGGGGTACTTGAAAACCAAACTTTGTAAGTCGCGTAAGATACTCATGTCTGTAATGGCCCCCACGTTTTGGCCCTGGCTTTTTGAGCTTCTTCTATTCCTTTTGACCAGCAAAAGGCTTCCCACCAAGTTGTTTTGTTTGGCTTACTTGCTGCCACTGGCGTTCGCGGCGGATGCAAAAACAACTTGTTGTTGCGTGTTGACTCTGAAGCCCCATGATTCTACCATCAGCGTAGCTTTAAGAGAAACGACCCCAAATCCTGACTATGATCCCCAGAAGCAACAAGAGCAACTGGTCGAGAAACAAGGAATGCAAAATGTCAGGGCCGGGAGAATTTCAGGGCGCGGGGGGGGGGGGGGGAACTAAGTCTGGGAACCAAGAGGTTATGTCAGGCAGATTCTCTTTGGACGAGTGAGCAAAGTACTTCACTATCTTCCATCGCACACGTGTCCTCAGGTCTGCAAAGAGGGATCTGGTCTTGGACAAAATTCGAATACCTTCAAGTATCCCCTCGCCCGCGTGCCGCTTCTTTGATGCTGCACCAACTCAACCAAACCAACTCAACCAAACCAACCAACCAGCCAAAAACATGAACCAACCAAACCAAACCAAACCAGACCAGACCAAACCAAACCAAACCAAACCAAACTAAGCCAAGCCAAGCCAAGCCAAGCCAGCAAGCAAGCAAGCAAGCTGCAAACCAAACCCACCAGCCAGACTTGCAAAGCAAACCGCCCACCAACCAACCCATCCACCCAACCCAACCCAACAAAACAACCCAATCCAACCCAATCCAAACCCAATCCACCCCAATCGTAGAGGTAGGTGTGTGTGTGTCTGTGTCTTGCCCTCGCTTGGACCTTGAGCGCACCCTAAACAGCACCCTGACCAGCACCTGCAGCACCAACCTGGTCCGAACTCGCAAACAAGCCTACAAAACAAATCAGACCAATGGGGAACCCTTCCCCAAACAAAGATGGGTATGTGTCACATAGAGAGACCCCAGAAAGAAAAAAAATGGCTTTCCTTTTGGTGTGGCTTTAAACCAACCCCGAAAAGGATACCCCATCGCAAATGGAAGCCAACAAATATGGGCGCGCATGGGAGCCTGTGGCCCCAGCCCTTCGCGATTCACCCGAGGCAGCCTCGGCTCGGGTGGCGGCAGCCTCAGGCAGCCGCAACGTCGCCTGAGGACTTCAGCGGAAGTAGAGACCCCCAACGAGGAATTCCGCCTGCACAAGGGGGTGACGTTTTAAGTGGCCCAATTGTAAGTGAAAAGCTGCCCCAACCCCCACCCCCACCCCCCCCCACCCAACTGACGACTAGTACCCACAATCCCACCGCGGTCCGTGTTGGAGGGAGGACCATTTTTGATCCGCAGTTATTGGAAACGACATGTGTTGTGTGGAAAGGGCGGTTGCTTCGGTATCACAACAAGAGGCTATTCTTGCGGCAGCCACTTCCAAATACAAAGGAGAATCCGTAATTGAGCCGCGATGTCCCTTTGGTCAGCCCATAAAAAGTACCCGAATCCGGAAAATGCTTTCAAATGGGAAAAAGGGTGCCTTGAAAAATGGACAGTCGCATGCCATCCGCTTGACTTCAGCATCTGACGGTGAGTATTCACTGTTGCTCACCTCTAGCATCCTCAGTGTGCGTCGCTGGAGAAATGCGGCCAAATGAGGTTGACACGGTGACCTCCCCCAAAACAATGCGAAACCAAACACGGAGCAATGGCAATGTCCAGTACCCGGGGTCTACTTGCAATATGTTCAACTCGTCTGAAATAAGTTGCGGCTCTCCCCAGGCGAAGGCGGCGTGCCGCTCCCCCCGAAACGCCCGGTTTCGGATCGCCGAGCCGCCGGAGGACTGCCCAGGCGCTGCTGAAGAGCCTCGAGATCCAAGGCGGCCTGGCGAAGGGCTGGGCAGCCCGCAACGGGGGCCGCAACGGGGGAGGGGGGTCAATTTTGTCAGGGTCTACTGAGAACCCCGGATATCCCGTGAATGTCACAACGCAAAAGTCATGGATTCCCACTAAAAAGGGACACTCCCCCCCTTTTTTATCAAGCGGAGGTGTATTTTTCCGGGGTTAACACAAAACAAAGCCAGTGTGGTGGATTAGAGTTATTTGGGGGGGGGGAGGTACGTGTTCCCTTGCTTGTAAGGTGTGGCTGCAAAAGATATTCAACATCTGTTGGGATTGAGACCAGCTTGAGAAAATCGAGGAAACCAACGGAGCCACTTGAAGTTCACAATTAAGCCTTCGACTACCTCAGCTTGTGCCCAACTCAAAATTGTGCAAAATGGTGGCAAATGTCTAGTTAACCTTAATACGTAAAATGATGTCACTAGAGAGGTCCAAGTTGAGCCCCTTTCTCCAGCTGGCTCGTTGGGTCCACTGCACAACTGCCCTGCCTCTTCCTCCTCATCCTCCGGAGCCAACGCCTCTCGCGAACGGAAAAGTGGATGTGCCCTTGGGACGCCTCTCCGCTTGAAAGATGATCACCTTTTGGGGGCAGGGGGTGAACGAGTAATCCATGTCCAACAGCAATTGTCAAAACAGCCCCCCAAGGAATCAAATGAGAACGCTTTGATTGGGCCTCAATGGTTCACACAGGGGTATGTGGCAAAATAGGGAAGCTACTTCCACACTGAGGCTACAACTTCGCTCATGTCTTAATCCAGGCCCTCAGGAGACTTCCTATCAAACCAACGATTTGAACTGGTTGGGAAAATGAACAGGGGTGAAACACGACGTTTGTGGGAGATAAACAAAAACAAATTCTCTAAGGAGGGGGATCCCCTAATGGTGGAGTTCCTCTGGTTTTCTTTCAAAACGAAATGTCGAATTTCTCAAAATGGGATCCCCCTTGGTGGGCATTGACAAGAGAACGACGCGAAAGCAAATCACCCATTCATATAGGAGCTACCTATTGTTCAGAAACACGCTAGTGAGAGATTGGCCTTTTCCGGCCGTTGCTGGAATTTGGATTGCAAGTTGAACAAACTGACAATAGCGTTGTGCTTGATGAAAATCCGACTCGATGAAAACCCATTAGCAATAACGGGTCAGATTAGAAGGGGTTCCCCCCAAAAGTGCAAGATCGCTCTAGGATGGGACGCCCCTAGTGATCAACCCAAGGCTTGTTGACCAGCATGTTGTTGCTACCGTGTTTCCGAAGCCTGAAATAAGAACCAGATCCTCAAGTAAAGGACCTACACCATGGCCATCATGGCGTTCGCTCGTTGTACCACCCGCTTCTGTCTTGCCGTCGCGCCTTCTGCACCATCCACAACGGCAGCCGACTCTCGGTGAGCCTGGGGAGGGTCTCTCAATATGGCGAGAGAGAGGTGGTAGGGGGAAAGCCCCGGGATTTGGTGTGACACTGAACAAAAAATACAACGGTTCGAGAAAGTGGGATGCGTTCCCAATGGAAGGTGCGCAAATGAGTGTCCTGTCACGCAAGCAACGGAAGATATTTGAATCCGGCTTTTTTAGAGTCAAGCGCGCTTTTCCAATCGTTTGCAAAGGGCCGCAACCTTGCTGACGGAGCAAACATTGGCAGCTTTGGGGGCTAAGTCTCAAACCAACTTGTAGACTGCGAAAGCTTGCGGAGCATCAGGTTGGCTTGCATCAGGTTCGCTTGCGAACCACCAAATTGGCTTCCGAAAGTAGCAGGTTGACTTGCGAACGCGGCGGATTGACTGGCGGAAGCATCAGATTGACTTGCCAAGCTGTCCCAATTTGAAGCTGTTTTCGTTTCAGAAGCGGTCACGCTATCACGCCTACTCTGAAATCAACAACTAGCGGCGCCCCCAGGTCCAATTCAGGAGGCTCCGCCTTGGAGTTGCGCCTAGACGGGAAACTGCTTCGTCACAAGGTGGCGCGCCACACCTTGCCCACATGCATCAAACTTGAGGCTCGGGTAGGCGTTGCCACAGTCAACGCGCAATGGCACTCCAAGTGTTCCTAACACCGGAGCATGAACATGTTGGATGCCAGAAGACAAGCCAAAAAAACAACGCCCGCGCCAAACAGAGCCGTCAGACATGGTGACCATAATTACGTTGACCACAAACGGTGGCCGATGCATGGGCTTTAGACCGACCAGCACTAAATCGGACTTCCGAAATCTCTGCAGATTAACATGGCCCTAAAAAGCAGTCGGTTTGGAGGAATCCCGTTTTGTGGGACTCCTCTCTGGGTTCCATGTTCTTTTGCAGGAGAGTACTGGTTGGGGACCCAAACCACGGCCTTTCCGGATGCTTCTGCGATAGCCCACGCCTCTCCATCATGGCAAGGTGCTCCATGTTCTCGTGCCTGAGCAACGGGCACGCATGACAAAGCTGCCACATGTGGCAGTTGCCAGCATGGCTGTTGTGGCCAAACAATGCTTGCATAGGTGTCCTTTTTGGTTGTTTTGGTCGAAAAGTAGATCACCACGTGGCCTGTTTCTGCGTGCAAGGAAGGCTGATAAGTTTTGAGCGCGCAACACGCCCCGTCTACGCCCACCCTCGGTCGAACAACGCTCCTGCTCTAAGGTTGACGGCGCGAAACGCGGAGTTTTGCAAAAGGCATGTCTGGATCTTGCAGGCGTGCCAGGGTTGTAGTTGTAACCCTAGAACACCATCAGGCCAAACGCTACCATAATTCGCACATTGGGGCTTTGCGGAATCCCAAGCAAAGGACACTCTTCATGGGTGAGCTCGTCTTCCCCCCGCCGCCCGGACCAAAACCGGGCAAAAAACAGAACCCACCTTTCACTTTTGATGGTTTTTCAAGGGGGTGAAAGTGCCAGCCTGACGCGTTGAGTCACTGCTGGCCTGGATGGGCAACCAAAAGGAATCAAAAAGAAACCAAGGAAAACCAAAATGAACCAAAGGAAACCAAAACGAAACCAACTACGTTGGGTTCCCTTCTTGTGGGAGAGACTAGCCTCCTGGTCCCTAAGGAACGTGCGTTTCGGAAAGCGGCGAACTGACTAAGGACCATGCACGCTGAAGGCGCGCCGTCCAAAGTACAGCATGTAGATGATGCAGCCTGCGAGCGCGCCCTTCCACCCTTGGACCTGAGGACAAACAGGAGCTAGGCCGGGCTGATCCGACCCGGTTGGAAGGGAGAAAAGCAAAAGGGCAAGGGAAAAAGAAACGGCATCGCCCCCCAAACTAGACACCCTTCAACGAAAAAAAATAGAATCCCCCGCAGCTTATCAGCCAGCTGAGAGAAATCGCGGAAAACTAGGTTGGTCGTTGACTGAGGGGACACAGTCACTTGTCAAAGCATCCAAAGCAAAAAGGTCGAACCAGAGAGCAACCAAGGACGAACCTGCGCAAGAAACAGCACTCCGCCGCACTCCTTTTCTTTCTCTCCAGGCGGCGCATGCCTGGGGCAGCGGCAGCAATCCGGGTGCCTAACCCCTTCTTTGGCCAGCGCTCAAATTTGACCGTATGTCCGAAAACTAAAATGAGGGATCTGGGTGAGTTCGTCGTATAAGCAGACAAACTGAACCTTTACCCTGCCGACACTGACAAATTAAATGCTTGCGCTTGCCGTTGGCACAATATCCAGGTGGAAAGCCGGACCAGACAAGAACACGTGCCTCTGACAATGGGGGCAGAGTTGATTGCATGCTTCCATTTCATGTTTGAAAGGAGGGTAGTTGATGAGTCAATGCGGCACTCTGTCTGAAGACGAAGGGAACCACCAAAAAGGCCACCGAAGCAGAATACCGACAGCTTGGCCTCCTTTTCTTGTCCTGATGCAAGTACCCATCCCGGGGTTGCTTTTGGTTTACTGGAACAGCCATTTTTTCCAGAAGGTCCATTGAGGTCACCAAAGACTAGCCATCCCAAAGTCGTGAGGAATCACCAGGCATGGGAGGCACGTGATGGAAGCCGGGCGCATGCAAGGCAAAGCCGCAAGCTGAGAGGAATCAGAGGCTAGGGCAAAAGGGAAAGACAAATCAATGGACAAATATACAAGCCCGAACCGAGCTGGGCCAAGCAGACATGAGCCACAAGTCTGGAGAGAAGCAGCTTCTGGCTTTCATGTCAATGCCCCAGCTGTCGGCCATCGGCATCCAAAATTAGGGGTCCCGTGCACCCCCCTAAATTGATCATCCTCCCAAAATGAACAATCCACAGCCGGCCCGCACCTCTCCAAGCGTTGGCCCGCAAGTCCCTCAGGAGGTACCTGCATGCGAGCCTGTCCGAAAGGGACATTAATATTTCAACCTTTTTGACCCCTTGTGAGCCCTTTTCGAGCCCTTTTCGATACCTTGTTTGCCTGTTTGACCGTTGAAAGCAGTTCTTCCAGAGTTCTCTAAGGCAGCTTGACGGTTTGGGCTTGGAGTAAGACATTTCACGGCCACCGCTCACGGGTGCGTTGAGCACGTCTCCACCTTTCAAGAGCAAGTGGGTGCCATGAGCAGGGAACTCACAACATCTCTTGCCTTTGCCCTTCCAAATATTTATAACAAGGGAACACAACAGGATCTGAGTTGTGGCATTGTCAGCAGATCCATGGTCCGGTGCGTTTGAATGGTCGACATACTTGTTCCATTAGGAAATGAATCATTGAAAGTTCAGAACAGGTGTTCTTTCTTGGGACAAATCGCGATTGGCTGGCCGAAGCAAGGTGGACAGGCTACTCTCAAATCGCTCCTGGGAAAAAAGGTTTGCCAAGCTACAAAATATTGACCGGCAGGCGTTGACCTGTTAACCTTTTTTCACCGTGCACCATGCTCAAGTCCCCATATGTCCCAACTCCACCCTCGCTCGCAGCCCAAAAGAAAATCAGAAAGTCGCTTTACAAGCCCAATGATTAGAACCAGCAGGTCGACTCCGAATTCTGGGTGACAAAGGGCTGAAACAGATACCCCTCCACCAACGGAAGTGCTCCCACCTTCGATTCATCCGGAAGGGCCTTCCTTGCATCCGAAGGAAGAAAACATCAACCACCTTGATATCAACGTGTTCCAAAATTGAAGGCTTCCCTCTCGTCTCCTTTTGAAATCCAAGTGTGGGGAGTCATCTGTTTGTTGTTTACGGGCCACAAACCAAATCAAGTGTAACCCACCCCGACCAAAGGTGCCCATGCTCTCCTCAAAACCTACACCATCTAAATGGGAAAGCGCAACTAAACAGCAGCTTGAAACTGCAACCTCTGATCCTAGGTATTTTTGTTGGAACAATAGAGTCAGCCAAACTGACCCAAAACAAGAGTTGACCACCTAACCCCACGTTTCCACGCTTGGGTGACCCAGTGATGGGTGTTGCACCAACTTTACATAACAAATGGACCCCCAAGCAACGAACCTTCATGGAGGTGGCAAACTTACGGTAGGTGCAGTCGCTCTGATTTGCCGAGATCCATCCCGGCGCTTACAGTCACCTCACAGTAAGACCAAGGGAAGCCATGAAAAATCCTAGAGGTACAATAAAAGCTAAACATCCTGTACCAGCATACTGTAAACATGTTAAAACTAGTGAGGTCATTTTTGAAAACAAATCAGGGCACATTTTTTGGGGTGCCAAGAGGAACCACCCCCCACACCGGCGGTTCAACGCCAAACCCGCGCCTCGCATCGCGGAACCGGTGGTTTTGGCGGCAGGCGCTCAGGGCGGAGCTATAGGCAGGGGCCTCCACAGGGCGATTGAAGCCACGAGGCTCCAAAGTGACCCCTAGCGAGCGACTTCGAGAACCAAACCCTTAGATCTATGGCAAGTGCGAGGTAAGCATATAGATGTGGATGTAACCTAGTGCGACAGGGTTGGCAAACATATTAGTTGTGGTTGTAACCTAGGAACGAATTTGGTCGAACACCCAAGTAGGTATCTGTCCGGACAAAATATATAGCACTGTTTAGTAGGCAGAACCAAACCAATACCAGCAGGAGCATTTCGCCTTTTTAAACTTAACTGACTCTTAAGGGCAAAAGGCCGAAACCCTGTCTACCCCGCTGTCCCCATGATCTCCCCAAAACATTCCCGTGGCTTGTTCAACTTTTGGGAACTCGCGCCTCCAACTGCAGCTGTCGGGCTTGGGCCTCCAGCAGCAAATGCCTGGCCTCAGCCGGGCCAGGCCCACATCGCCGTGTTGAGCCGCTTTTGAGCGGTTTTGGGCGGGCCTCTGCGAAGGAACATGCAACTTTGTGTTTGTTGGTTTTGTTCTGTTGTGCAGTTTTGGAACATGGAACATGTTCATGTTGGATACCTTCCACATAGCGCTTGAATGCTCGAGCTGGCAGTCATGCTGCGACCAGGCTTTGTAAACAGCGAGTCCGCAGCTAAGCGTATGCTTTCACCTTCTTCCCACATGCGCTCTCGACTCTACATAGTTTGAATTCCACCTCACCGCTGACAGCAAGGCTCGGAGCTCTAATTTCTTGATGTGCCTTGGGAGCATACCTGGGGACCGCTTCCATCGAAAATCGCACACGGTCTTCCACTGCCAAAGGCAGGGATTCAACCCTACTCGCAGTTCAACGAGTGAGAAGCAAGCTCCCTTCTGGAAGACCAAAGGCCTCCTCACCCTGCTCCTGGGTCTCCAGCAGCCTGGCCACGCTCCTGCGGGCTTCCAGCCCGGGTCACCTCCAGCACCCTCAGGCCTGCTTTGGCTCGGATTAGCCCTCCTCTCTCCCGACAAGGAGAAGCTGCCCCCTCAAGAATGACAGGCTCCAGGTCTCCCTCTTCAGTCAACTGGGGGAGGCAAAGACTCGAGAAGTGCCACGACCCCCCAGCGGACGCTGCAGTGGCTGGATGCTCCGGCGAACCCTGCATCACTTGAGGCTTGGTCTCCCTGGCCAACCAACCCCAGGAAAAAGACCCAACCTGCCTTTTGGTTGCGCGCAAACCAGAAGGTGCTCCCTATTATGATAAGCCATTCGCTGTCGACATGCCTTGCCACAGCCGCTGCCAGAATCTTGGTTTCTTCATTTCGCAAGAAGCTAAGTCCCATCTTTTCAAGAGGATCACTGTGCGGGGGTACACTGGGTTGGCATTTGGATTGATGGGATTCGAAGCCCTGGTTCTTGAGGGTAAATAAGAAACCCCGAAAACAAGTCCAAGCCTCCAGCCCAAACCACCCTTGTAGAACAAAAAGGCTCCATGTTTAGCGTTGGAGCGTACCCCGCACGGAACCTGGACCGGGTCCTGGTTGCTACCATTCTCCTACACCAATTCTGCTCCTTTCATGAGGTCCATGGATGCTGGACCTCCTTTGCGGGAAGCCAGCGAAAAAAACCCGAGGGAAGCAGCTGACTTCTTGGACAACGATGGTTGGACAGATTTTTTCGAAGCACCGAAAACCGGTTTCGGGTGGAAAACCGAGGTGCCCAACCACCCCCGACGCCAGGCTTCCCAGCAGATTGCCACCTGAGCCGGCAGGCCCCCAGCGCAGCGCCCAGGCATGTGCCGTCTGGCTCCATGTGCGCCTCAAAGCGCCAAAGCTTCTGTGACACCTCTGGCTGAGTGGCCCAGTGACACGTCTCCTTTGAGCTCGAACCCTCTCCACAGTTCATGAGGGTCCTAGCCAAACAATCTTCAAGGCTCTTTGAAGGCAGCATATCCTGAGGTTGGGGACCCTACTGTAAAATTGCTGGCTTCCTTTTGGCTTCCTGTCAGTCAGACAAAAAAAGCTCCCAATCTTCTAGTCACTCCCCAAAACAACATCAAATGTTTGGCATTTGGCATCATGATCTCAACTGAAAACAACCAACGTCATGGCCGCAGCCTATCTGCAACTGCCGTGATTACTACACTTCACCAACTGGAAACGAGAAATCTCCAAGTTAGTTAGGACTCTTTAGTCTGGGTGACCTCGTTCTAACTCTGGGTAAGCTCATCATAATCTGTGCACAACCTATGGTAGCCTAGCCCCCAATTTTGAGAGTTTGGATTTGTCGTGAAGTTGACATGGACCTTTCTACAGGGATGGTTCAACATTCCAACGATGCGCATTGATGAGAAATGTAGGATTCGATGGGCGTGTTGTTGTTGACAACAGCTTTGAACCTGTCATTGCGCGCCCTCCTGAAGAAT